ATTAAATGATGAAATAGAGTAGTATCTACATATATTTCATACATTCATGACATACCTTATTTTTACTTTTTGATATTTCTAAGCTATGTGGTTCCTATTTTTCAAATTATTGGAAATCTCCAAAGTTTTTTTCACTATATTTATTGAGAAAAATCTGGGTATCAGTAGATTGACACACAGTCTAACCTGTGTTGTTCAAGGATCAGCTGCAATTGTAAAATAAATGGAACTCCATGACATTCTTCAGATTCTGCTTATAATTTTTGTCTATACTTAAATGATCAAAGACAGGTATCCTTTTATTTAAATCATTAACAGACCTCCTTTTGGAGCTTATTCCAATACTTCCACAACCTTTACCATCAAAGACCTGCCATTAAATTGAATCTACATCAGTTTTGATGTAACTGAGGACAATGTCTATGATACATGCTGTGTTGTGTTCTCTGCAGCACAGTGTAACCCCAGAAGTATGTGTGTAATGATATAACTAAATTTATATAGTACTTTATAGTCTACTTACATCCAGTATTTTACCTGTGTCCCGTAACAGCCTGGCCAGGGAAGCTAGTTTCTCCATAGAAGCTAGTTTCTCCCATAGAAGATTCAAGGCCAGTACAGCTTGTGGGAGAGCCACAGGCAGTATGTAAAAATATTTAAGTTATGAATCAAGTTATCTGCCTCCTTTGATAAGACTATCTTATAAACACAAGAATGGAAAACATGTATAAAGTCACAGTTTTTATGACTGGAAATTGGCAAGACATCAAATACGATTAAATTTAATTTTTCTTGCTCATGCCTGGGCATTCAACTGAACTGGCAATCTCTGAATGGATAATAAATTAATGACCTGATTCATAAATTATTACATATTTTAAAAAATGCATTTATCTTCCTTTCAGTAAAATCAGAAGTCATGTTGCTATAAACAAGATTTTTACTTAGTTGGTGCTATATGAACAATGATACTAAACGAGACCATCTTTCTTGAGTCAGTATATCTCTTTGATAGTTATTTTATTAATTTCAGTTTGAGAAAGCTTTGCCCTAAGAGTTGAAAACCAAATATGTTTATCATGTTCAAATACTATAATACGAACACTGAATGAGTTACTGCAGAAAAAATTTTTTATTTCATCATTTAAACTATCACTTATATTATTATTTTATGTATCTCTTAAATATGAGAATCAAATAATGTGAAGAAATGTTAAGAACCAGTATGAAACTTCTAGATCTGCACATCTACAAACTGAAGGTAATATGGATTGTTTAATGTTGCAAAATGTTTGTCTCCATGTGCAATTGTAGTGAACAATGTACCAATTCATAAGTACTCCTGGAACCACAAACTCCAACAGAAAGAGAAGCAAGAAAACTGATGTTCAACACTACAAGGAAACTGTAGTTTGTTACTCAAGAATTGCAGTCATACTTGCTAAGTGGAAGGATCTGACAGGTTAATTAATTCATCTATGTTCTTATCAAACCAAGCACTTCTCTTCAAAGCCTCTGTCACCCCAAAGCAGTGTCTATCTCTGATAGTGGTAGTAGCCACAAGCGATCACAGTATTAGGCACAGTCGTGGGTTTTTTTTGAGGACATAGAATAAAGCAAGTGGAGAAACATTCCTCTGGGACCTGAAGAATGATTTTTCTGAAAGCAGTGTTCAGAGTTACAGAGTGCCATTTCCAAATGAGAGGCACCCATGTCTTCTTTCCTCTTCTGGTAACAGCTTTATGGAGATAGAATTCATATACCATAGAACTCACCCTTTGAAAGTGGATTTTATTAACCTTAGAAAGAAACAGTTAGCAATCACTTCCTATACCCGCCCTCCCCACCAGCCTCTGGCAACCTCTAATCTACTTAATGTCTCCATGGAATTGCCTATTCTAGACATTTCATATAAATAGAATCACACAGTATGTGGCCTCTTTCACTTAGCACATTTTCAAGGCTCATCTATGTCGTGGCATGTATCAATACTTCCTTTTTATGGCTGAATAATATTCCACCATATGGATACCACCTTGTGTTTGTTCATCAGTCAGTGGACATTTGAGGTATGTCTACTTTTTGGCTGTTATGAATAATTCCACTATGAACACGTGTGTACAAGTTTTTGTGTGGACATGTTTTCATTTCTCTTGGGGCTGTACTTAGGAATGGAGTTGCTGGAATATGTTGTTATTCCATATATAATGTTTTAAGTAACTATCCAAACAGTTTTCTAAAGTAATTGTGCAGTTTTAGAATTCTATCAGCAATATATGAAGGTTCCATCTTCTCCACATCCTTGTCAACACTTCTATTTTTTCAGTTACAGCTATCCTAGTCCTAAGTTATTGTTCTAAACAATGTTAAGTGTTAACTCATTTGATCCTCCCAATATTGCCATACCCAGAAAAGGGAATTAAGGCTCAGAATGGTTCAGTAACTTGTTCAACACACTGGACAGTGGCAGAGCTGTAATTAGATATATACTACACAAATAAAACACTATCTGAACGCAAGAGGATGCAAACAATTTGAGGAAAAAAATTGTTTTCTTTGGCGCCCTCAACCTTTCTTTTAGGAGACCATGAGTTTTAAGATAAAATCCTCTGTTCTATGCAAGGTAGTTTCTAGTTGATATCCTGAATCTACTGCTGCCTTATGCACCAGGCTAGTCAGTACTGGGGCTTAATATTGAGGGCAAGAGGGAGAATGAAATAGTCTCTGAATATTCATTTCAGTTAAGACAAAAATGTCCATTTAGCTGTGAACAAAATCTATCAGCCACTGGTATTTTGTGATTCTTAATTTGAAATTTAAAAAAATCATTTGAAAAGCTTTTTTCTTGGGCCAAACCAGTTTCCAAGGTATACATTTCCGCATTCTTAGTGAAGTCAGTGGAAACAGACTTCAACACCCAATTTTTATGAATGTTTTAATCCATGAAGATACATGCCATCTTTTAAATGTTTAATTTTATAGTAATTTATAATAGAGAAAACTTTATATATTTTTATATTAGGATAACAGTCAAGCAAAGTATATTTTTTAATGTTTGCTCTCAAAAGTAGACCACAGCAGTAAAATAAATGTAGTTAATTCAGTGCTTAGGAAATAATTGGAATAAAGAGTCTTTGATTCTTACCATAGGAATCTGATTTGCAGGGCTGTATGCTGTTTAAGGATAAATTTGTGTATGGGTACAAAAAAATTTCAAGGGTCTTTATCCAGTGAGTTCTATCTCTGACAGAGGCACAGTGATGGAGGATTCTGCTCATGCCTCTGAACTGAAGATTGTCCTCTGTATCTCCATTTAAAGACACCTTTTTTGCTTCTATCTCTGCTGGTGATATTCAGCAGAGAAAGGGCTGAGGGAAGTAGGAAAGGGTACCTGTATAATCAAACAGTGAGCCAAGAATTTTCCTTCTGACCATTCCTTAACGACTGATGATCACCTCCTAAACTCTAATAATTACCACCAAGAGTGAAAAACAGGACAATGACTTCCATGTATGTAAGTCATAAAAGGAAACAAACTAAAATTTTCACTATATATATATATATATATATATATATATACTTGGCTATACTGAGGCTTGTGACATCACGCTGCAAAACGTCAAAGAGCCTAACAAGTTACTGCATCAGTTGTTAGGAGAGCCTGGTAGGAGGAGAAAGGTAAAATGAAGGATATAAGCTGCTTTACCCCGCAAGACTTTCTCAGAGAAATCGAAGTTCTACAGAAAGGTTGGCAGAGAGAAATGAGTAGTTTGGAGGAAAAATCTGTTGTTTTAGACATTACACATTTGTAGTTCAGGGCACTTTATGAGCACTCTATATTATATTCTATTCATATGGAATCATTCCATGATAATGATAACCTGGACATGCAAACTCTAACATGCTTATTTTAACAGCTTAATTTTTTAATATTTATGCATTTTACTCATTTAAAGTGCATAATTATGAATACAGGAGTACAGTATTATATATAATATGGACTCTTATGATATATCATATTAAATGCATCCTGACAGAAGGGTTTAAATATACTAGAGAGGAAATTAATTAATTTATCAAATAATACTATGGCACCTAAGTATTTTAGCTTTCAAAATATCTAATAAATCTCCCTAGTCACTTTGTTTTTGCAACATCCTTGCTTTAAGGAAGGAAGGTAGAGATGTTTGCTTGTCTGGAAGTATAAATGGAATTATAAACCTTCCATCCCCTTTTGTGATGTTGACAGAGTTATTTTCATGTTATTTATACATGAAGTCAGGCTGTTTGAAGTTTTGAAGTTTCGCTTCACAAGTTATGGAGTACAACCAAGTATGTAGTGAAAATTTTGCAACTTTGTTTCCTTTAATGACATTTGGGGTGACATGCCATGGAAGTCACTGCCATGGTTATATTTTTCACTACTGGTGGTAATTATTAGGGTTTAGGAGGTGATAATCATGTCCTTTTCCTTGAGTTGTATTTAGAATGAATGACAAGAGGCAGAAGTCAGAAAGACAGAAATAGAAATATTAGCTTTATTACTAAAAAATTGTTGGAAAGCAGCGCTTAGATATGCAGCCACCAGGGTTTCCTTGGATCACTATGATTAGGTTTGGTACTAGTTCTAGAACACTAAAAAGAGCAGTGGCATAAATGAGGGAGAGACTACTGCTCACCTACGAGGCCAGAGGTGTCACATCAGGACTGGCAGACAGTTCCACATTCTCCAGCACCCAGACTCCTCACAATTTTGTTGACTGCTATGTGTGGCTTCTTTTCCAAGGTCATCTTGGGGTCTAGGACAGATGCCGCAGCTCCAGCCATCATGTATACATTCCAGCAAATAGGAAGAGAGGGGGATAAAGGAAGAATGTCTCCATTTAAAGCCACCTTTTTCGCTTCTTTCTCATTAGCTAGAACACAGTCACCTCTAACTAGGAAAAGTAACCAGTTTTTAGCTGGGCAGTCATGTACTCAGCTAAAAATGGAGGAGCCTATTATAGAGAGAAGATATTGCTGGACAACTTATAGTCTCTGCCATATTCCTGAGTTAAATTTGTGCAATCAGGTAGAGGGAGAGCTGGACAGCTACCAGCTCTGCATAACACAGAGCAGAGACCTACCTGGAGGGTAAGCTGCTTGTCAGAAGGGGAACTCAGAAGGGGCTGAGCCAAACATGCTTGGTTCCTTCTTACTCTCACCCACTAGGATAGGCCAGACGTGTTTCTCCTATACTCTTCCTTCTTGATGTCTGGCTTTTCTAAGGGGCAGTACAGTGAACCGTCATAAGGCAGGAATGCAGTACATGATCTGGCACCACAGTAACAAGGTTTTCTTGGTTCCCCGTTATCTAGCCTTTGTGTGTCTTCACTGTCTATTAGATTAAGAAATCTTCCTGAATAGTCATAAGATAGTTCTTCTTCTGGCAAAATGTCTTTGGCTGCAAAAAGTGCCAACTTTGGTACCATTGAGTCAATTCGGACAGGAATCATCAACAGGTTTGGCTCACAAGAATGGTTAAGGAATCTTCCCAGATTTCCTATACAGGCAGGATCAACAAATGTTTCAATTACCTGCCCACTAAAAACATGTTCCCTGATGGCAATAATGTAATTTGAATCGTGTACTGTTTGTAACTGAATTCTTCTCTGTACTTCAGAGGATCCTAAGACCTCGCCAGCATATTCACAGACGAAACACCCTTTTGGTATAAATTCCCTGGTACGAAGTCCCCAGCCTTTTTTATCTGTCTTGAACACCTGGAGGTGGAACTGCAGACCCCGCTGGACCACTCTGTTCCTGCAGTGGTCACTGCACTGGCACAGGGCATTGCATTCAAATACTGGCTTGGCATACTTTGCTTCTGATCTTGTATCTCTGAGGCATGACTTATCATCATAGTTCTGCTCATGACGGAGGCAGGAGCAAGTACCAGGGAGGCAGGGAGTTTGGAGACAAATGCATCCAGGAAAGGTTATCTGCGTGGGATCAGCGTCTGCTCCCGGCCCAGCCACATGGTCAGGGGTATACTGCAAATAATAGAAATACATGCTGTTAGTGTCCTTGGACCCAGTTTCAGCCTGGGGGGAGGTTTCCCCACACCTCCAACAAGCTATGTCCCGGACATCAGCTGGGTGTCCTATGATTCAGTGAAGTTCTGACATTATCTACCTGGAGATGGGATCACATTCCAAATTTAAGGGCAGTCCTACATGATTTGCCCTATCCCTGCCAGATATCAATCTCAAGCCCAGGTTGTATCTACAGGAGTGTTTGAACTGTACCTCTTTCAGTCAATCCTCCATTAATACTGTGTCTCCTGGCCATGCTTTAGAAAAAGTATTCAACAGTATGTAGTAACTCCCCGTTGAGGCCTTGTTGGAGCCATGCAGTTAGGTGCAAAACCCTATACTTTAAAAAAAAGCTGAGCTGGGGAGGAAGGATTGATATCCTCTTGTGATGGATGAGTTGGAATATCTGGGAAAGGCCATCACTGCTTACAAAGTGATTTGATGAGGGAGAGTGAGAAGAGCTTTTCTTGTTTGTGTTATTTCTTACGACTTAAGCTTAGCAGAGATGTCCTAAAGGGATAAAGAATGGCTTAGAAAAAGATGCCCTATCAGTCAAATTCAATATGACTGCTGTTTTATACAGAATCTACTTCCAGTTTCTAAGAGTCAATGCTGAAATATAAATGTTTACTGAGACAATTAACATGTACTTAAAATGAAGATTTCACTATCTTTCTGTTAAACTTTTCGTGAAGAATTCTTTTAAATTGTTTTTAAAGGTGCATGTATTTTAGTATAAACCATTAAAATCTAAAGTGATTTTTTTTGACACACGTAACTTCTTTTAAAATCAAGTCTGACTTATTGCAGTTTCCTCACTAGGAGAGCATATTATTCCTTGTTGAACTTATTTGCATATGGAAGGGTTTGGGAACATATACCTTTTTTTGCTTTTTTTTACTTATATATTAAAAAAAAGATTTTGGAGAATCTAGGAATTTTGAATTTTAAAAAATTCTGCAATTTAAACTTGATGCACAATCTCTAAGATCCTTCAGAGATTTATATTACTAAAGGCAGCTAATTCCAAAAGAGCTGCAGACACCTTCCAAAGGATAATAAAGATTCCTGGATAAACTTCCTGTTTAAAGAGAGTCTTTTTTTCTTCCCCTTGATGGATATAATCCTCAACTCTGATACCAATAATCACCACAAATCATTTTAGATCCATGTTTCCATTTTCTCCTCCATTAAAGGTTGGTAAAATACCATTCCAGAGAGATATTTTACCTTAGAAAAATGGGTACACTAAAAAAATACTCTCTTGAAAGCCATGGTCTAATTATGTAACTGATGATTATGTAATAATCCATCTTTTCAAGTAGCTACCTGCTAAAAAGTTCTTTTTACTCTTCTTATCAGAAATAAACTGATGTGATGTCATTGACCTGGCCTTCTATTCAAATATTTCGTTTTGAGTATCTGAAAGCTAATGTTAAAGTGTGTTAAAATGGGAGTCAATAAATGTGAGTTTAAAGCTCTGTTTTGTAAGTCTTTCCATAGTCTGTACCCTACTTCCTGGTCCCAAGCCCAGGACCAAACTGATCCCCAAAGGGTTTATGCTAAGGGTTTGCTGTACATACCCTAAGCCAAGGAGAGATCAAAGCTTGGGAGATGTGACCAAAGAGGATATGGGTTTTTACCTATCCAGCTTTCTTTCCTTTTCTTCGGATAACAGCATCCTGACTCTTCTAAAAGGAACCCTCCCCACTCCCGTCTCAGTGGTTTGGATGGAGGTCCAGTTTGGGCAGGGACCTACACCTGGCTAATCAGAACATCACTTGCTCTTTTCAAGTGTTTGGATGGACACAGGAGCTAAGCCAGATCAATGAAATAGAATTCTACCAGTTTTGCTGAAACAATTAGGGAAGAGGCATTCTTTCCACTGGGGTTGTAAAACTGTAGAGCATTCACTGGGCATTCCCAAGTTCTACCACACACACAAGACCTGTTGAGTGTGTAGCCAACCACAGAAAGGCTAGCAGGGGGTGCGAAGTGGGGGTTGGTAGAAAGAAATATCTGATGACACTGTTAGAGTTCTTAGATCCAGACATGCCCATAGTTACCACTCTTGGACTTTGCTATCATGTGAGGCAATTCCTTCCCTTTTTTGCTTGAGTTGGTTTATGTTGTATTTATATTTTTCATAAACAAATGAGTCTTGACTCATATACCCAGGGTGGAAGTTGAGAATGGTTCCAGGAAGTAGCTGGAGAATTTAGTCAAAGATATAAATGGCTAATGAGAAATGAGGTCTCCAAGTGAGAGGTGAGACTAGCAATGTGTGTAGGAGGCCAGACAGTAAAAACTCTATGACTGGCCTGCAACACTGGGCAAGCAGTGGAGAACTTCCCAGCATAGAAGGTCTTACAGGAGACACAGAACAAGGCTTTTATTAGCAGTGAGACTTAGGGCAAGTGACTTGCTAAGCTTCAGGCTAGCATTTGTTAAACAGGAATAAAGCCTTATTTGGGAAGGGGGTTTCATGAAATTTAAGTAACCTAACACTGTTCTCAGTGCCAGGCACTTAATACTTTAAAAAAAGTAGCTTCCTTAAATTTTTCTAGATAATATTTCTAGATTTTATATTTAAAACATTGTATATTTTTGGCATATTAATCTCTCTAAACACTTTCTATCTTAGGTTGCTGTGAAGTAAAAAAAAAGGAGAATCCACATAAAAAGCTTGCTTGAGTTGCTGGCACTTAAGTGTTTAATATGAATTCTGCAGGTTATCTAGTGGGATGGTGAAAAACAGGTTCTGGAGTTAAATTTCCCAATTTCAAATGTATCTGAACCAAAATTATGTTTAGAAAATCATGTGATTATTCTCCTATTCTCCATTACTTATCCATCTTCAGGGGTTTGGTGGCGGTTGGCAGCAACTAAGAGCTGATCTGGCACGGATGTCTTTTATTCAAATGCTGCCTTACTGCATATTACATGCATGTGCTGGGATTTAGAAAGAACCCATTCAGAAAAATACACAAGAGGACATGGAGAATGCGATTTTCATATTTTTTACTTTTTTTTTTCGTAACATAAGCTTTTTTTCCCTGGTGTGTGTTAAAGTACAAAATGGATCATGCAAGAGTTGGGAATAAATGCAAAATGATCAGTGCAAAATGATGCACTAGAAACCAGATCCTTGAAGAATTGAGAGGAGATGTCAAGTTTGACAGAAAACCTTCTTTTAAACCATTATCACTCAAGAGGCCAAAATGGAACCAGACTAGTTGAAGAGAAAATACACCATCTTGGCTATGCTTATATACCATTTCTCCCTTCTCTGAACTAGACCTGCCCTTATTAATGGAAGATACTTTGGGATCTAAATGACATAGGCTGTAGGGCTCTCTACTTGTATTGAATGTGTATATGTTATTTCTCTAATTAATACATGTCTCAAGGAAAGGCATGCTTACGAGGTTTGGGGTGTGGCATGGTAATGGGGTCAGGTTCTTATACATAAGACTAGGCACAGAGCAGGTGGCTCAGGAATTATTTCTTGATTGCTTATTGTAGCTCATGATAACTTGATTCAAGGTATGACTTTGCTGAGTCAAATTTTGTATTGAAGCCCCTGAAACTGAAGTATGACAGTGCATAACAACCTGGGCTTAAAACCTATGCCTTGATTCTGAATTTTAAGAAAGTGCTGTGAAAATCTTCAGGCCGTTTTTGGTTGTTTTCAAACACCAGCTACAAGCATTTTTGTACTTGGCTTCCAGCACCATGAGTTTTTGCTTCAAGCAGCTATTAGGAGACTGAGAGCCAGATAATCCTCATCAAGGTCAAGTAGAGATCTTAAAAAGGATGTTTGAAGCTGGTTTCAGAAACCTGAAAAATGTCTAGATCCAACTCTTAGTTTAAGAAAATCAATTTGTTTATTTTCTACTAGGCTTCAAAAATGATGGCATTATTAAATGCTTGTGTGCAATGTGAACATTTGAATATTCTTTTTCCCTTTTCACACAGTACCCAAAAGCAAAACTAAAAAAAAAACTTGAGTTTTCATGCCTTAATTCTTATGTGTGTATGTCTATGAAGCAGGGTTTGGGGCAAGCAAGCTTTTTAAAATTTTTCATAAGACTGATATTATGCTCCTGAGTATATGGAAGCAAATTAGCTGAAGGCACCTCTGGGTTTTCATTTAAATGTTCCAAGCATGTTTTCTCTTCGTGCTAAGACTAAGTTCCATGAGGAAGGAATCTTGTTTTCTTTATGTAATTCTAACTCTGCCCAGAGCTGTGCATATAGCCAGACAGCTAGAACACTGTAGGGATGAGTCTCGGCCTCCTGATTTTCATTTATGCCCATCAACTATATGTGTAAGGATAAATAACCTGGCTTCCTTCCCTGCCTTTTTATAGCAACCAAGTGCTTTATAAATGCTCTTGTAAGCCTAGGCGCAGCAGTTGTGCATTGTCATTATATTATTTTCTATGCCTAACTTAAAATGGTGCCTGGAACATTATAGGCCCTCAATTACTTATTGAATAAAGAAAACATGTATCAGTGTTTTTGACCAGGCATTCAGCAGTGTTTGGTCTTGAATAAGCTTTTAGGGATAAGTGTTTAATATCTGTGCTAACCAACCATATTAACCATAAACTGCCTAAGGTAGTTTGAGGAAAAATAACCATTTCTGACATTAATATCCTGTTCTACTCTTTGGAAATTCCTATTGAGTTATTGTCTTATTTGATCCTCACAACAAACCTAGGAAGAAGGAAGGATAGGGTTCAATATTGATAATGGATGTGACAAGGGCTATACATTTTTATTTTCATTTTGCAGATGAAGAAACTCAGGCTAAAATGGATAAGCCCCAAACGTCCACATCCAGTGCTCTTTGCACACCATCCTTTCTTTGGGTTATTCCTTATTCTTTAGGCAACCTGTAGTTAGGGGAGAAAGGGCTCTGAGTTAGTAGTAGTTGTAAACATTTATTGACTTTCAGCAAACCTGGAACTGTATTTTGATTATCATTATCAAAACAAACTGGGAGAGAGGAGTTACTTTAATGTACACGGAGGGCCCTAAAGCTTAGCTGAAACTCTATTTTCTTAAGCCTCACAGCATGAGGGAGACTCAAGTCTGACTCAAAAGGTTAAGTTTTTAACCATGATGTCTGAGATCCGTTAATGGGCCCCATGCCTTATCTGACATTTAAAATACTTGAGACCTGAAAGGTAAATGCTTTACCCTTGATTCCTTAGTGAGTTCTGGCGGCAGAACTAGGACACGCCAGGTTCTCCGGAAGCTTTCCCAAGGACCTTATAAAACATCTGGTTTTGCCCTTCAGGGAACTGCCAGTCAATGGGCAGAGAAGAGGAATACTCTCGTTAAGATTACGATGGATTAACAAAAAAGACTGAATCCTGTGCATTTAAATTATTCCTGTGCGCGAATCGCTATGCGATGGTGTAGGAAAAAAAGAACGCAAGCAGCAGTCCAAGAGTCAACCGTAGAACCACGACCACGTTTGGGAGTGGCGCACGAGAGCCTCGGGGCCATCTAGCCCCGCCTCATACCTGAACGGGCCCCAGCCTCGCCCCAGTGGCTGCGCGCGCACTGCTCGTGGCCGTCAAGCCCCGCCCCCTACAGGAGCTTGTCGGTCCTGCGCGCCACTTTCCTACCTCGAAGGGCTCTGGCTCCGCTCCCGGCGGCCAAACGCTCACAGGCAAGTTCTCCAGGCCGCGCGCGATGTCCACCCGCTCCGTCAGGGCTTCAGGTTCCGCCTCGGACGCTGCCATCCTGCAAGGCCGCTTCTCCACGGCTTTAGAGGACACTTCACCGCCCCCGTCTCCATACGCCGGCCAACCTTGACGATCTTGAGCCTCGCAAAGGGTGCTGGGAGACGGGGTCCCGTGGCCCCGCTGCCTCATGGGAGTTGTAGTTTTTCCTTTTCTTTCGCTAGTGGTTTGTGACGGTGTCTCCTTTCCCGAACCTCAGTTTTCCTAGACTTTTGGGTCTGGCTCGCTTTTAGATTTGAGCCGGATGTACAAATAATAGAAAGCCTCGCAAGGTACGGACAAAGACAAAGCTTTGGGAAGACAAAATAAGGGCTTTAATTTTTCCTGGAAGCCTGAGGGAGGACTTTAGAGGTGAGGTTATTTAGAGCCCTCAGCTGTCTGAGGGCTTCGAAGTTTGCTGGAACCGGCGGAGGGGGAACTGCACCCCGGGGTTTCCAAAGACCTGGGACTGGGGTGGAAATGGAATGTAGAGAGAGGGTTTGCCTTCAGGTGGCCGAATAGTCTCACTGGAGCGTTATCGGGCGCCGTAAGGAATGCGCTACCCTACCGGCTTCCCCTTCCCGAGAAAAAGACAAACCCTGTTCCTGAAAGGAAACTCATTAACTTGGAAATTACTGAATCCAGTAGAGTATTTTCAACCTTCCCAAAGCTCTCTGGCCAGATTGTCTGCTACTTCTACTTGAAACCATCTTTTCTTGAAGCTTCCGTGGAGCTTGCTCTGAATGTGCTCCCATCTCTCAGACTGTCCTTCCGAGTGTCCTTTGTCCTTGTCTTGCCTGACTCTCAGAAATGTGGGTGGGTGGGTGCCCCCCCCCCCGTGCTCCCCCCTCCTTTTTGCTCAAGGCTCTATTCTCACCTTGTCTGGGCTTCCTCCGTCATAGCATCTACTGCTGTGGCTTCAAATATAAATTAATAGGTCTCAGTCTCCAGCCCCGACGTTATGAATACCCGCTTAGCTCTGATTATGGCTATCCAATTAGTGGACATTTCTACCTTCTGCTTTATAAGTACCTCAACCTCAAAAAGACCTGAGGTGACTTACTGTGCAAATTTTCCTTTTCTCCTTTAACATTAACTGGGAGAATAATTTGTCCACAATCTCCAGAGTTCCCAAAGCAACAAAATTTCCCAAACCAAAATATTTCCCTGTATTCCTTCCTCACCTTTGACCTCCATAACTAATTCTGGCCAAATCTTAATTCTACTTTGATAATTTTTCTCATTTTCATTTCTTCTTACATAATCTCAGGTTCTCATTTCTTTCTTGGATTCTGGAAGGAATTTTAACATTCTTCATACCCTGATTATCACCCTTAATTCTACAAAGATCTTTTGAGGATGCACATCCAATTATTATATTCCACTAGCTCCGTGTGTTTCTGTAAAAGCCCACCTTCTATAAACTGGCTTATAAAGCTCTTAAAGATCCAAACTCTACCTATTTCTTTGGTCTGTTTTCAAACCATTTGTTCTATGTACGTTTTCTTGACCAGCATTGTTACTTGGGCCTCTGTGTCTTTGTTCACACTGTTCTTGTGTCTCCAGTGCCATTTCTCCATATTGTCTGTCCCCTCAGCTCATGTCCCCTTCTCTGTATCTTTCCTGACCCTGTTTTCCTGTAGCATTGGTTACCCTTTTTTTGTGCTTCCATTTTACTCTGTAAGTCATTTTGTCATAGTCCCTGTAACTCTTTAATGTACTCACTGTCGAAGCCCACCTGATGAAGTCATAAAAATTATATATACATGGAAGGAGACAGAAACAGAGCAGGAGAGAGAGACAGAAACATTTTGTTTTACCTAAAATAATGTCGGTTCCTTTATCTGGTCTTCTGATACAGGGCCAAGGCCTTTTGTGTGTGTATAACCCACTGTGTACTGATTAGAGTTCCATGTCATGCTCACTCTGAGTTCCAGTTTGGGTGTCTTTGAACTGGGACAGGAACTAAAAGATAGCAATCTTGAGTTCATGATCATCTTTTTCCCCCCTAGTTTTTTATACTTTCCTTCTGTCTACTTCAACATGGTGAGCCACATTTTAGTGACATGCCTTTTTTTCAAGTTTCCAGAGTGTTTCACCTAGTTTTTCCTAGAGGAGAGAAACTCTTTATGTAAACTCATAGTTCATCATCATTTCTTAAGATAATTATAAGTTGTACCTGGTATTCATAGTGTCTTAGTCTGAGCTGCTATCACAGAATACCATAGACTGGGTGGCTTAAATGACAAATATTTATTTTTCACAGTTCTGTTGGCTGGAAGTCTGAGATGAGGGTGCCAGCACAGTTGGTTTCTTGGTGAAGGCCCTCTTTGTGGTTTGCAGATGGCTTCTTATCATTGTATCCTGACATCAGGGAAATAGGGAAAGGGCTAGCTCCTTCTCCTTATAAGGATATGAATCGTGTCATGGGGGTTCCTTCCTCACGACCTAATTATCAAAGGCCCCACCTCCAAGTACCCTCACAGTAGGGCTTCAGCATATGACCTTTAGAGGGACACAAACATTCAGTCTATAGCAACTAAGTTTGGGAACAGACACTCAGATCAATCTTACAATGTGTATCCATGAGCAGGTAAAGGCGCTTAATTTTGCACTGAAGTCCACATTTGATAGAAAAACCCATTTTTGAGAGCAGGTTTAGAGGTAAAGATAGGAATTTGATTCTATGTAGAAAAGTACCAAAGAGTAATGGGCCAAAGATTGTAATCAGATACACTTAAGTTCATAGTTATACTTGATGGATTAGTTTCTGACTATGGGCAACAATAGCTAATATTCATTGAGTTATTGTTATGTGCCAGACATCATTTAAGAATTTTACATGTACTAATCCTTTTAATTTCCATTGTTAATTACTTGAAACCTTATTGAAAATGCCCACCAGGGGTTATTTTATTTTTTAATTTGTATTGAAGTATAGTTGATATACAATATTATATTGGTTTCAGGTATACAATGTAGTGATTTGACAGTTACCTACATTATTAAATGTTCACACCAACTAGTGTAGTTACTATCTGTCAACATAGAATGATGCCACAGAATCATTAACTATATTCTCTATACTGAGCAAGGGTCATTTTATATTGAGCTAAAACATTCAGACTCACAGGACTCTCATAGGCCACCCTTGGCGTTAGGTTTACTCAGATGGTCACCGCCTGCCAGCAGAGACTACAGGTATTCTTGTGTGGGAACACTGCATGCAGCTGTCACACAGCTGTCACAAAGCTGCCTTGGAGCAATCTCTTTTGTCTTCCCAGAGGATGGCTCAAATGCAAGGAGAAGAGATCCTCTATTACAAGTCTTATACCCCATAGAAGCCATAGGCTTTAAGGTAGTCACCGAGTAAATATTTTATCAGACATGGCTGTGTATGTGCAGTAGCTTAGGAGATAGTTATGTAAAGCAATTAGCTGCAGTATAATGAAGGGATGTAAGGAAGGTTTAATCAAGATTCTGTGGAACTTCAACCTGAGGGATAGATTACTTTTAGCTGGAGAGATCAGAGAAAACTTCATGGAGAAGGGGCTATTTGCTATTGGCCTTGAAGAAGAGATAGGATTTAGGAAGATTAGGAAAGGGCATTCCAGTCAGAAGGAATAGAAGGAATAAAGAAATAAAGAGAAAGGCATGTAAAGGAAAGAGTAATTTCAGATTGGCTGGAGATTAGGTTTAGTTCATTTATCAGGAATTGTAAGCAGTGAAGGAATTTTGCAAATACTCAAAGAACAGGCTGCTTTTTCATTTTAAGAGTTTTTGAACACTTATTACATGCACAGTATTTTGTTTACCAATTCATAGGGAATGTACCCATGAAGAAGATATGGTGCCCAAGGAAAGCTTCCAATTCCGCAAATAAATAACTATATACACCCAGAAATCATAAAGAACTATAAGAATGTTCAGAAGAAAAAATTTAAGGAGCAGTGAAGAGAATCACACTCCTGTGTTTGTAGGTTATTAAGCTGATTTTATTTTTTGACTTTCTTGGTAGAGTCGTTTGCCCTTTGGAAAAATGTTTTGAATGATCCATTCTATTATTTTTCTGAAGCTGTCAGTGATGGTGCTTCCAGAATAAGATATTCAGTTCATGTCAGTGCTTCAGTTTAATTTGTTTTTATCTGGTTGGTAAAGAATCCAGAAATATTTTATACTGTGTGAAAGTAAAATAATGAGAGGATGTTTGCAGGCTGATAAAACCAATTCAGAGTGCCAAGCACTGCCAAGTCAGTCTTTGATCTTTACCGGATCTAACAACATATCTTATTTTCTCTAGATACCTACTCTTCACTGGAATCTGGATCTCCAAAATTTATTCTGAAAATCACTGTAGCTACATGGTGAAAAAAAAATGTATGCCTGGATATTAATGAGTTACCTAAATTGACTGCTATAAATAAGCCTTGGACCTAAATGTTACGTTGATTATTCAGATTTCTTTTGGCTTTTTCACTGGCACCAGAGAAACTAATTTGATCAGTAATAAGGAAAATAAGAAAATAATACAATACAGTAAAACTGTAACATTCAATAGGTTCATTAACTTTTGGCTAAATTAGGGACTGTAACTTCATGACCTTTTTTTTTTTTTTGCAAATACTCTTATTTTCCTAACCATGTTTGACCTTCAGTTAAGATATTCTCTTAAGCTTTCTTGCTAGTTTTTTAAAGAAGCTCTGCATGATTTTGTATTCAGAAGCCATTCCTTCTTCATCAGTCTCACTAGCATTATCTGAGCTTAATCTGGGCAACACAAATGATGAAAGGTCTAAAGTCAGCGAAGTAATATATTTGTTGGTGTTAATGACAGCATGAATAAAACAGTTTGGAGAATCTTGGCTTTTCAATAAAACTACCACTACTAGATACTAAGTAGGCCTAGTATAAGCCCTGGATCCTCTATAAACAAGTAAGATAGTGTAAATGAAATCACTTTGAAGAGAGCAAAGCATAGTAGTTGATACTTTTGATGGTTTCTGCCTAACTTGTTTACTGTTTTTCCTTCTGAGAACATGCCACCCACCAACACAGCTCATTCCATGGGATGGGCTCACTGGGAGTCAAGTTTATATGACACAACCCCTATGCCTTGGCCCACGCTTTTGACCTCTGGATGCACACCTAATTCAAGCTAGGCCAATTAGATTCTCCTGATGAGAAGTTGAAATTTAAAAAGCTATTAATTTAATATATATATATATAACATGTAACCTTTATTTGGTATATTGTTGGAGAAGCAGAGAAAAGTCAGTCCTC